AAATGGTCTTTAGGTGAGGTCAAATCTTAACCTTTGAATTAGGCTAACTAATTTGATCCAACGGCTAACTAATTTGATTCATCAATTAAGAGATAGAGTCTCACTTAAGGGACGTATATAAGGCTCTCACTATAGAATTCTTGAGTAGAGTTGAAATATTATGTGGAAGACCGAAGCCCAAGAAAACAGAGCAACTATCTTCTTGGGCCCAGTCTAGCCAAAATCAAAACTTTCTAGAGATGAGAGGTAACACTAGCCTAAATAATAAATTTTAAAAAAAAGAAGGTAATTTGCACATTGAAAGCAAAATTTGCTTGTAGTCATGAAAGAAATAACCCAAGAAAAAAAAGGAATTCCACCATAATGTATTTTTATTTTTATTATTATTTCTTGTAAACAAATGAAAAGTACAAAAGGAATTTAAAGTGGCATATTCTGCCGTGTAATACATAAACAAAAAAGTCTACAGGAAAATTAAAAAAAAATTACAGAAAAAACACATAAGAATGATAATGCACTCCGGCATGACAAACGCGTGTAAATTGCCTACGGCTACCTTTCTAATCGCACCAAAGTCCGGACCCACCATTTTCGGACATTAGCTTGGAAAAAGCTGAGCCTCTATAATGTACTTATATAAGTCTACGTGCTTATCAACAAGTCATTGTCATGCTGTACCACTGCCAGTAATGAGACTATAAAAGTCAATGTCTTCTCGTACTTATCAGTCAATTAAAAATTATATCATTTCTTGTGTTCTTGAGCTTTGAGGTGAGCTTCTAAAAAAAACTCTGCTTTTTGTATTTTTAATTTTAATTTCTTAATTATTTTTGTTGGTAATCTTGGTTTCTTGTTTACCTTTTCCAAATTGATGGAAATGGCTTTGAATGTGTGACATCTGAATCACTCTTTCCTGTGTTTGGGTTTAATTTTGGATTTGATGCAATCTCAATATTTTGTTTGGTTTGTGAGAAAAAAGAGAGAGAGGAAAGAATTGTCATCTGTTTCTTGGGCTTTGAGTTTAATATATATTTGTTCTGTAATTACTGAATTAATATACTTGTACTTGAAGGTTTCAGAGACAACTCTTTCTTGGGATGTATAATCTCAAGAAAGATCTTGTTTTCTTAATCTTACAGTTTTCAGATGAGGGAGGTTATCAAGAAGCTGCCCACACCACATGTAAGTTTCTTTATCTCTGTTTATTAATAAAACATTCTTGTTTGTGAATCAATAACATTCATTTTGGGAATTGATGTATAGGCTTGAGAGAGTCAAAGTGGATTTTACTTTGACATGAACTATTTTGAGGACACTGTTCTTAGTGGGAAATGGGATGAGGCAGAGAGGTACCTCTCTGGTTTCACGAAATTTGATGACAATCGCTACTCAACGAAGATCTATTTCTGGATCAGAAAGCAAAATTTCCTTGAGGCCATTGACAAGTGAGAACATCAATTTTTTTGAAGCTCCATATTATCTATACATCTAAAAAACAAATACCATGTTCTGCATGTTTTTGGTTCATTCTTGACAGCAATTGTCACGCCAAGGCGTTAGATATCCTCATGAAGGATCTCAAAGTTTTTGCCGAAGGTAATGAGGAGCTGTTCAAAGAAATGCATCAACTTTTGACATTTGAGAATATAAGGTATGAGCTTCTTTGCTAGTTTTCTGATTTCATATTGTGACTGTAGCTCTCTCCAAATGGACTTAATCACGTGTATGGGTTCAATCCAACAGGGATCATAAGGCACTCTCTATGTGTGGAGATATAATGTCTATAAGGAAGACTATGATGAAAGAACTCAGGCAAATCATTGAGGCAAATCCAGTTTTCCGTGGCAAACTGAAATAAATATCCTAGCATCAAAAGTCATAGATTACATAATCTCATTAACCAAAGGTAATGCTTCCTCTCTACTTTTGGTCTTCCTTTCTATTTTGTGATTGCAAATGTTCATACATATGTGTGTGCGCGTTTGTGTGAGAGAGAGTACTTGTTATTCTCATATTTAGTAAAAGATTTAGTCACTTTCTGTTTTTTGTAATTGGGAGAGAGACTGACTTGTGTGTTTAACTTGACAGCTTGAATTGGCAGCATAAACAGTGTAAAGACCCTCGTCCAAATCCAGTCATTAAGACTCTTTTCGTTGATCGAGTTTGTGAACCACAGGAAAATGTTCCTTTGCCTCTACCAATTGAAAACAATTTGGAAGTAAGATATGTTCTGGTGACATAAATTTCTTTTTCCTTTAAGTATTTGTCCTCATTAACCAATGATCCTGCTCAGTGTCTACACTTACTGATTTTTGTCCAAATCCAGTTATTAAATCCCTTTTCATTGATCATGTTTGTGAATTGCAGGACTGTTTGTCTTTGTCTCTATCGACTGGGAACCTGGAGATGATACTTAGGGTTGAATCCCATACTCAAACTCATACAGATCCGACTATGGAGATCTAACAAAACATGTTACCATTGAAATTGAATGAAAATATGGAAAAATGGGTACAACTAGTCAGCCAATGGATCTCCCCTGTCCCCATCCATTTCATGTTTATGCATTCTTGAACTCATGTCCTGAAGATAACACATAAAACAACAAAAGTGGATACTCACGGAATGTAAACAAGTAACTCTGGATCACCCTCATTGCTCTCTAAGTGTTCCTGTTGCAGAAAGTAGGATAAGATGAGACTTTATATGCCCAGTAATTGAAACATAAATTAAAACCAAAATATATGGTAAACCTGAACTGAATCTCAACCAATGATTCAACAATTTTTTGGCCGAAGATGATGGTTTTTCCTCTTCTACAGCGGCTGCATTATCTTGCATCTCTCTGGGAGTTTTTGATTTCCTCTTTTTTGCCCATCTTATAGATCCAAAAGCTGCATTTCACCCAGATTACATTACTGAGAATTGACAAAAAAGAAAAAAATTCAAAAGAAGAGATGACTCAACAATTGGAGCCCCATAAACGCAGCATACTCATTTTGGGTCAGTTAACCAGACCAACTCAGTTTCTAACTAAACTAATCAATACAACAAAAGAAACATGAAACTGAATATTTAGGTAAGAGAATATTTGTTCATCATCAGCTTCCTAGCAACCAAACATAACATAAACCAAAACAGAAAATGGAAAATACTGATTTTCAATTGCAATTTCTCAGCTTCTAGTGTTTGAATTGTTGGGAAGAGCTAACCTTTACGTTGTTGATAAACGTGAGTGATCTTGATGTATTTGCAGGGATGCCAGACCTGCCAAGAAAAAAGAAATCTTCATAATATAAAACGCCATTCAAGTTTTCCAAAAATCGGCCGCCTAGGCGGGCTAGGCGGGTCCTTTTTATTTTATTTTATAAATCGTATAGCCGGGCGGCTATACTCCTCGAATAATATATTTAAAAGGTATAGCCGCACGGCTGCACCATCCCCTTTTTAAACAGGACCTGTTTAGGAGTCCTTTTTTTAAAAAAATACATAGTATAGCCGCGCGGCTATACTTCTTAAATAATATATTTAAAACGTATAGCCGTTCGGCTGTACTCTTTAAATAATATATTTAAAAAGTAAAGCCATGCGGCTATACTTCTTATATAATATATTTAAACAGTATGGAGTGCACTTAAGCTTTAGATGGACACACGTTTCTCACCTAAGCTTTAGGTTCACTCTGGTTTTGGAACATGCCGGAAACTTGAGAATTAAAACTTAAAATCTAAGCTCAATACCCTAACATATCAACTCTGTTAAGAATGGAGTGCACTTAAAATCTAAGCTCCATACCCTAAACTCTGTCAAGGATGGAGTGCAACTTTTATTTCTCTTTGCCACCACTCACCAAAAGCTACTTTTTTGTATGAATATATTGACCAGATTATTACACAGTTATGACGGGTCAAGATTGAGTCCAGATGATCTTGATCACATTTCAACCTTGTCACTTGAGCCAAAACTCACCTAGAGACAAAGAAGAAAAGGGTTGGGACGATTGATCGGGATCACTAGTTATAAGTTTGGACTCAAGTGGGATTGAATCTCTAAGAAAAATTAAAGATAACCAATACATGATCTGATCTACAACTAAATATAATAAATCGGAGGGTATCCATTATTAGTGGCAATCTACAAGCAAGAGGAACCCTATGAGGGTTCATGAAATGCATATTTACTTGAGTTAAACATTACAGTGAATTTGATGAAAATTAAATTGCTTAATGTCTCAAAGGAGAATACATCTTCAAGCATCTACCTTTGCCACTGCAGATGCATAACTTACACTGACGTCCCTCATAGTTTTGCACTGACTTGACTGCTCATATCGGAGAAAATTGATCTTTATGCTTGTTGAACAGTTCTTCAACATCTGAATGCATGGAAATATGATTGAAAGGGATGAAATAATGATCAAAACCAATATTCAAGATGCAGTTAACTGAAGGGCTGGAGTCAAACTTATGAGCAATGACAAAGAACCATTTTGCCGTCTAGGTAAACTAAGTTTAATTCTTCAAAAAATGACCCTCACATTTTTCCTATCAACCTGATTTGATGTCTCCAATATGTCAATATGAAATAGAAATAACAAGGATATCTTTAGGACCTTCGTCCTGATGAACTCAATAAATTGAAAAGTAAAAAGCACATAAATTCAGAATTACCAACGGATAATGAAAAATTGTTAATTAAATGTAGTGATAATCTGAATGTTTAATCAACTAAAGGCAAGAGAACATAGGAAATTGCCATACTGTAAGATTAGTGCTGACTGCTACCATTCCATACACTTTGCAACTGCATCAGGCCTGAAATTGTTACGCTCAATCATGAGAAAGAGAGAGGGGCAGGCAGATCTTCAAAACTTATATTTTATTTGACAAAATCAATGATTAACTACAAAGACATAATAAACCTTCACTCCATCATACCATCTTTAGGACTAAATTATTCAATTATAAAATTACTAAGCTATTCCAAATATGATTCATTCCGCCCACTCCCAAGCTCATTCACGTTTGTTTAAATTAACCCAAAGATTATTAAGCAAATCCTGTACTGAAACAACGTGTTCATATACTTGAAGAAGTGCTAGCAGTGCACTAACCCGAGAGAAGATGAAATCCATTCCCTAAGGGTTCGAACATTCAACATAGTTTCAGCTGTTGTAAAGGTCTTCAAAACTACCACAACTGCAAATATCAAAAGAATATGAATGAACGATAAGAAACCCCACATAGAGCTTTAGATTACAAAAGTCAATATTTAGTGATATAAATAAACTTAATGCTTACCGAGGGTAGTTTCTGGGTTTAACCCTGCAATATTTCTGGCAACATCAACAGGATCAACGTTTGCCAGACTGCACTCAGAGGAAAACAAATTATTAGAATACCCTTAGACCAGAATCATCGATCCTCTGATAAATATATATATATATATGTGCCACAAATATTTATCAGAAATGGAATACTGCCACTCTTTATGGGCCATGTTAGTGGATTTTTACAGAATGCATCTAATCCTTTAACCCAACTACCAAGACTACAACCAAATATTTACACAGAGAATGCATCTAACATAGTCCCCGAATATGGGCTATGTTTCTTCAACCACCACAACTACAAGCAAACACACAGAATACTGCTTTCAAAAATATAAAACAAAGAAAATTTGAAAGCATAAGCAAAAGCATGCCATGTCCTAAAATCCTATGTGCCGTATCAAATACAAAATGCTTCTCTACATGTCTTTAACAGATGAATGCATCCCTCCTTCAAGAACTATGCCGCTGAAATAAACTCATGAACACAGACAATCTCATTGTTTCAATCAGGTAGGTCCTAAAATGAAGGAGCTAAAAGAAAGCTAATCCGCAATGTTTGACAGCAGTAGTGGGAAATCACTTCAAAAGCCTCAAGACATGGATTCATACCATTAGCATCTTACCAGCTCTTAATTAATGGATATAGAGAACTGAAAAATAATCAATTAAAAATTGATACGTAAGTACTTACAAATGCAGTTGCCTTCCCCTTGCTGTTTCGATAGCCTCTAGATCTACAAAATGTAAACAAACCAGTGAACACTACCCAAAGTTTATTCCAAAGCAAGCTTAATAATTTTCACAAGGAAACTCACACTAAATAGTAAACAAGACTGCAAAATAGATTTATAAATTGACAAAATGGAAAGCATCATCTAAACCTGTTTGAAAAGGACCTAAGAAGCTGCCACCAATACCAACAGCAATGACATCCTTCAAGGCTTTTCCTGTGGCACCAAGCTACCAGAATTGCCAATTACTTCACAATTTAGGCAATATGGACCCAAAATGGATACTAAAAAAAATTGTAGTGATTACCCAAAATCCACTTCGAATACTCTCAGAAAACTTTTGGATCTTGTCCAGAACTTCCCCAACATCTGGGACCGCATTTTTGCCATCACTATGTATAACTGCATCCCTTGGAGCATGAAGAGCTACATGAAGCACTGATCCATTTTCTGTGCTTTTTATCTGAAGGCATCACCTAGAAAAAGAAAAACAGAATGCAAAAGAATCACATGATAATGGTTTCAGAAATAAGCTTGTCTCATCTTTACCATAAATCCTATAAAGCTATCAAATATAAGTTTTTGTGATTTCAGACAGTTCAAAGGTCAGAAATTTGGGCATCCGAATTTTAAATAGGAAACACCAACTAGCTATTGTTCTACTGGTAGTTCTCTCTCCACTTTGTTGGAAGAGGTTCCAAATTTTAATCACTTCCCCCAGATCCGAAAAATAATTTTTTTATTTTTAAATAGGAAACACTTCTGGCTAATTGCAGATAAAAAGTTTTTAAATTAGCATTTTAATTCCATATTTATCCACATAATACTCGACCAAAGCAAGATAAACTTGAAACGTATATGCTCTCCACCAAACATTCGGTTAATCTTTTCTTTGAGGGATGCAGCCTGCATTGTGGCAAAGACAACATTAATTAGAAAACACTATATTCACCCAATCTCTTCCCACCACAAGACACTAGTAACGAATGGGCAACCCCACCTCTGCCAATTTCCAAGGTTTCAGGCGTGGCACATTGCCGTGAGTAGTCCAACAGTATCCCGTCAAACTCACTATTAAGTGTTCTGTTTGTTTTAGGTGAACCTGCAGATGCTACTAAGGTTGAATCCCATACTCAAACTCATACAGATCCAACTATGGAGATCCAACAAAACATGTTACCATTGAAATTGAATGAAAATATGGAAAAATGGGTACAACTAATCAACCAATGGATCTCCCTGTCCCCATCCATTTCATGTTTACGCATTCTTTAACACATGTCCTGAAGATAACACATAAAACAATAAAAGTGGATACTCATGGAATGTAAACAAGTAACTCAGGATCACCCTCATTGCTCTCCAAGCGTTCCTGTTGCAGAAAGTAGGATCAGATGAGGCTTCATATGCCCAGTAATTGAAACATAAATTAAAACCAAAGTATATGGTAAACCTGAACTGAATCTCAACCAATGATTCAGCAATTTTTTGGCCGAAGGTGAGGGTTTTTCCTCTTCTACAACAGCTGTATTATCTTGCATCTCTCTGGGAGTTTTTGATTTCCTCTTTTTTGCCCATCTTATGGATCCAAAAGCTGCATTTCACCCAGATTACATTACTGAGAATTGACAAAAAAAGAAAAAAAATTCAAAAGAAGAGATGACTCAACAATTGGAGCCCCAGAACGCAGCATACTCATTTTGGGTCAGTTAACCAGACCAACTCAGTTTGTAACTAAACTAATCAATACAACAAAAGAAACATGAAACTGAATATTTAGGTAAGAGAATATTTGTTCATCATTAGCTTCCTAGCAACCAAACATAACATAAACCAAAACAGAAAATGGAAAATACTGATTTTCACAGATGCCTTTACGTTGTTGATAAACGTGAGCCGCTAGAACCCTACCTTGATGTATTTGCAGAGATACCAGACCCGCCAAGAAAAAAGAAATCTGAAGAAAAAAGGCGAGCCATTCGAGTTTTCCAATCGGCCGCCTAGGCGGGCTAGGCGGGTCCTTTTATTTTATAATAAATAGTATAGCCGTGTGGCTATAATCCTTAAATAATATATTCAAACGGTATAGCCGTGCGGCTAGACCCTTTTTATTTATTTATTTTTTTCATGCTTCATGCCTCAGTTTGTCTTTTCAAGGAAACTGCAACTTTTGAGTATGTGACTTTAAACCTAACCCATCATTTTTCTTACGTAGATTGATGCTCACTTGGGAAGTGTAAATGATTTGGCATCCTTTTCCCCTCACGACCAACTTTTGGTCATAACTTGTGCTGATGACAAGACCATCAAGGTTGGTTTCATTAGGGTCATAACTTGTGGGATGTGTTTTGTGGCCAAAGACTCTGTACTTTTGAAGGTCATGAAGCTCCTGTCTATTCTGTCTGTCCTCATACCAAAGAAAATGTCCATGTAAGGGCCACTTTGGGTATTGATGTTGCGGTTATGGTGATGTTTAAGTTTTGAATCATCTGATTTACTTTCCGTTTCCTGCATAATATTATCCAACACTTTTTTTCATACTTCATGCCTCAGTTTGTCTTTTCAACATCAGTGGATGGCAAGATCAAAATATGGTTATATGGCATGCACTGGCTCATAGTGCTCATATGGCCTGCACCGTAATTGCCATCTTTTATTTCCTGATTGATATCTTAGGATGAATACAGTAATGTTAGTTTTGATTGAGATCATGTAGGCTTTTTTCATGTGTAAAAACAAGGATTTGTTTTTTGTTTTTGATATTAAGAGAGATTACATGAGCCTCAACTAAACCAACATCTTCCATTGCAAAAATTCGATGAAGTGAACATTGAACACCTATCAAAGACTGTTTTGATATTTATTTTGTTCGAACTACACCAATATAAGAAATCCAGGCCTTAGGTAGAAAATATTAAAGTTCGAACTTACGCCCTCATGATCATCTTGGAAGGAGCTGATCTTGACATCTGATGTAATTGTATCAGAAATAAATGAACAAAATATAACTCAATCAGAATGTAATGTAACAACATCAGTGATCACTTCATCTAGAATGGTAGGTTTTAACAAAATTTCTCAAGATGCAACACAAAAGTTTCAAAAATAAGTACAGCTATATATATGTTTAACATCAGATATAGCAGATGAGCACAAGAACAAAAGATAATTATAAATGACACACAAATTAAGTGTTATGTTTGTTTTAGGTGAACCTGGAGATGCTACTTCGGAAGGTTGAATCCCATACTCAAACTCATACAGATCCGACTATCTATGGAGATCTAACAAAACATGTTACCATTGAAATTGAATGAAAATATGGAAAAATGGGTACACCTAGTCAACCAATGGATCTCCCCTGTCCCCATCCATTTCATGTTTATGCATTCTTGAACTCAAGTCCTGAAGATAACACATAAAACAACAAAAGTGAATACTCACGGAATGTAAACAAGTAGCTCAGGATCACCCTCATTGCTCTCCAAGTGTTCCTGTTGCAGAAAGTAGGATCAGATGAGACTTCATATGCCCAGTAATTGAAACATAAATTAAAACCAAAATATATGGTAAACCTGAACTGAATCTCAACCAATGATTCCGCAATTTTTTGGCCAAAGATGAGGGTTTTTCCTCTTCTACAGCAGCTGTATTATCTTGCATCTCTCTAGGGGGTGCCTAGGCGGGAAAAATATATGTTTGGTTTTTACACTAAAAAACTGTAATATTAAATACGTTCGAAAAATCGGCCTAGGGGGTGCCAAGGCGCTAGGCAGGAGGACACCGCCGCGTTTTCACCCTAATCATTAGGGGTAGGCGCTAGGGAGTTAGGCGGCGACGTTTGAGGTTGTCCAAGAGAGATTCTATCCTATTGCGGAGACGTAACAGCATGGCTCTGCATTCTTTAACAGCATGACCCTAAACCCTAAACCCTAAACCCCATTCTTCAGTTCGGAAAAGCTGTGAGTCAGAACTCTCCACGCTTCCATATATGTTGTCCATGCAAACAATTCCCAAGGGTTGTGAACGATGGGAGTTAGGCGGCGCCTGGGCGCCCTCCTAGGCGGCCTGGGCGGGTCTAGGCGGTTCTAGGCGGGTCTAGGCTGACGAAGGGCGGTTGAAGCGCG